AATATACATTATAAGAATTAACAATTTACCATCAGTTGATAAATTACAATCATTAAGATGAATACTTGTAAATATAAAATCATGTGTAAGTATTTTTCCTAATATAGAACATTGTGCTTCAGGAATATTGAATGATGATAAATTTAAACTTTTTGTTTTATTATCTTCACCAGAAACTCTTCAAAAAATAATCGAAAAATAATTCTTTTTTTTTTATTTTATTGTATAGAAAGCTTATTTTTATACTTTTGAATTTCGCCTAAAAGTAATTCATTAGGTTCAATATGATAAGTTTTACAATATTCATGATAGAGTTTTTTAAAATGATCCATTTTTATGATTCACCTGAGAAAATTGAATAGAACCAAATATGAAATCATTACTAAAAATCAGCCATATTTTAATTCCTTTTTGATTAGTATCATTGCAACCATTCATTGAATTTTATTTTATTGTTTATTATGGATATTCTCATTGAATATTAGAATGATAATATTTATAATTTAATTTAAGATCTCAAAAAAAAAGCGAATAAATTTTATTTAGAGCTTTGATAGATGTCTCTAGATAGATGAAAATGAATTCCGAACTCATGAAACTCTTCAAAGCGAAGCTTGACTCACGGAACTTAAATAACTCCAACAACTGAGACAATCCTAAGAAAGAGAGAGATAGGGAAGCTCCCTAACTGATTAATTACTTTTGGAATCGAAGCTATGTGTATCATGTAGACTCTAATGAGTTATGAATATCCTTGAAAAGAACTCAAGTCCTTAGGTTATTGATGCGAAAATACTACACTTGTACAGTATTTTTTAAATGACAGTCATGATCTCCCTTAGAAACATCGGAAAAATTGGTTTTCGAATTTAGACTAAAAACTTTGCATAGAGATAGATCTTAATGAGAGTAATTTATTGTAAAAGTTTCAGGTATTTTGATTTGCTAATATCTTGAAATCAGAATATCGAATCTATCGTTATAAATGAGTGATGTGAAAGACATACTTTTACAATAAACTATTCTCGTTAAGACTTGTCTCTATAAACCTTATGGCAACTTCTATTTAATATTCAGATTTCAGTAAGTATCATGGTAAGAGAAGTGTAATAACATAAGCATTATATGTCACGGAGCTATTATTTATTTATAAAATTTCCCTCGTTTTCTTTCTTCATAATAAGTATTTGAAACCGGCAGCGTCATTTTTCTAATCACAGATTTATAAAATATGTTCGTCATTGTAATCGAAGCAGATGGGCATAAAATATAGACATCCGTGTGCGAGCATACTTCCTTATATTTATTAACATATTCATAGTAGTGTGCACTTGACATACAATCTCAATGACGAATAAATTTGATAAAAAAAAAATTAGTATTCTCTTTTACCCTTCCGCTTTGTATTTTTCTAGATGTGTTAATGTTGTGAAACATATGTATCGTAAATAGTGGTGTAACCAAGAGGAACTGACGAGGAAAGCTCTCAAGCATCTTCTGATCGAACTCACGCCAGTTGAACTTCAAGCCTCTCACTATCAAAATTCTGATTACGCCACTAATTATCAATCAAGCAATCATTCTGTAATTGTATTTGAATGAAGGTCTAAAATATTATGAGCAAATCATGAAAGCATTATATATTTATGTTGTTAAAACGGAAACAAAACTCTGTACAAACTTTTATAATTAAGAAAAACGTGACTATTAGTGCAAAGATTTAAGGAAAGCTAATTTTAATTATGAAGTCTAATGCACTTCAAAAGCTTTTCATCTTGTGTGTTTCTATAAATATCAAATTATCTGATTATAAGCTGATAATAATAACTGAAATATCTAATAATAACTTATCTTATATATTCATTTTTACTTGTAGAGATTACTGTGACTGACAGTTAATCATGGAGTGTTATGAATATTGAAACAATCACACATCTTCTGTTTCTTTTATAACCGCATTAGATTTCCTAAAAAAACAAATAATCTCATTTGTTCTGAATCAAAATAAGTATATACAATGATCACAACATTTAGACATACGTAGAGAATGAAGTGTTCAACTATTATTTCACGAGAGAACCATTCAAATTTACGCCCATCATTTGCGCTCAGAAGGACATTTTAGCTAGACTAGCAAAAATCTAAAAGAATTTATAAGCATATTATGATCGTTTTACTGAATTTTTGACCTAATCTTAGATATACACCAAAAAATCATAAAACAGAATTTCAACGTAAAATTTCGTCCATAGATAGCTCTGATGAACTATAAGAATATCTTGACAGTTTCAATCGAAAAGAATATTCTTGTGTCGAGATATTGAATATTCAAGTAAACTCGATTTTTGTGATGTATTATTGGCAAATGACTATTTTTTGAAAAATTCAATATCTCAATGAAGGAACATTCTTTTCAACTGAAATTTTAAGAATTTTCTACGTGTCATGCGACCCGTCGAAATATGGGTTTTTTCTTTATTTTTCGGTATATATCTAAAGCTAAGTTAAAAATTCAATAAAACGATCATAACTGGATTAACACCCTTTTAGGTTTCTACTAATCTCATCAAGACGTTCTTGTGGACCATTAGAGCCCGTCGGGTCCAAAATTTTCGGATCCAGACCCAGGACTAATCCGACGGGGCTAAAGGTCAATATCAGCTTAAACAGTCAGTGTCAGTTCGGATGATTACTTCGTTAATTAATATTTAATATCTTTATGTTTTTTCTCCGGCACAAATTCTCATCAATTCTAACAAATAGAATAAATATTTTTTTAATTTTTATCAAGCATTTTTTGTGACTGATGATTATCGTGGCAAGCATTAGTCATGACTAAAAATCTTGGCCATTACAATCTATATTTATTATGTCAAGGTATGATATACCTTATCTTATCGATCGGGTTTATCTTAGAAAATATTGTGCAGATACTCGCAGTAACTATTAATTTTCCCTAGAAATTTTTTCCTGATATCTAAATAGAGATCAACTTTTTTATTTTCTTTATTGCATATTTTAGATAAATTGAAAAATAATAAATTATTATACAACAACACGTATGATATCATATCATCTAATAAATCTCATAGCAACTTGTCGGTAGAGAAAGATAAAGAATTCTTATCAAATATGTGTTAGAATCAATTACGTTTTACACATATATTTTTTTTTCTTCTTTTCTCTCTTCCATTTATTCCATCGACTTCTGCTTAGTGTGATTCTTGTTAATTCTACGTTTTCTCTCCTGAAGTTTTTTATTATTGTTATTAAAAAAAGCAGAACGCAAAATAGAAGAGAGCAACAAATAGAAGAAGAAAAAATCTCAGACGCATACATTAGAGAAAAAAGAAAAGATCAAACACATACAACTTAAGAAATTTAACATACAAGGTCAAATCAAAATGTCTGTTAGTATAAAATTGAAAATTTTAATTCAACAAAAAGAAAAACCAAAAAATTCATTTTCTTTTAGAGAACACAAGGAAAATTATCAAATCATCAAATAAAAGGTACTAGAAAAATAAAAATTGATATTAATTATTTTTCTTCATTCATTGAAAAAAACAAAACATAAATTAGAATTACGTGATACATTCAATCTTTTTGATCGTGATCGAAGTGGAACAATATCATCATCTGAACTTCAACAAGTATTAACTGCTTTAAATTTTAAACCAACAGATAGTTTACTTCGAAAAATCATGAAAGAAATGGATATTGATGGTATGTAATTTTTCATATAAGAAAAGAAAAACAAATAGAATATTGTAAATATAATATTTTTCTAGGTAATGGTACTAGTAAGTTTTACTTTTGTAGATTTCTTTTTTTTTTTTTAATAATAAAATTTAAAAAAAAAAATTTTGATTTTCTATGTAGTTGAATTTGAAGAATTTATTAGAGTAATGGGAAGTGTTTATGAACGAAAATTTACAGAAAATGAAATGCGTCAAGCATTTAAATGTTTCGATACAGATAATTCTGGTAGAAGAAAAAATAAAGAAACTTTTTTTTTTTTTTTACAAATATTTATTTGTATATATTAGGTTATATTACAGTTGAAGAATTACGTAAAGTTTTACGTCAATTAAATCAAAATATAAGTGAACAACGAATTATTGATGCTTTAGCTCAAATAGATATTGATCATGATGGAAAAATTAGTTTTGAAGAATTTGTACATCTATTTGAAGAAGTATGAATAAGTAATTAATAAAACAAAACAGAAAATTATCATTTTTGTATTTATATATTTTTTCTTTCTTCTGTTTCTTCTTTATTGTATTTGTCAATTAATACTAATTATAAATTGAAATAAATATCTATAAGGTATTAAAACTTATTCGATGGAATTCATTGGAATTATAATCGACAAATTTCATAGAATAAAGTAAAAATTTCATAGAATAAAGTAATTATAGAAGCAATTCTTTTATTCAAGTTTTGATTGAAAGTATGATTAAGGTTCCTGAAAAAATCTAGCGTCATAAAAAAATTGCTTTTTCCTATAACAATTGTTTGGTGACGTGTTTCTAGTAGTAGTCTATCACCGTAAGAAATAGCTTATTTTTTGACTCTATTTATGTTCGAAGATTAGCGAAAAGAGAATATCAAAAAAAAAAAGAGTTACTACACCTCCGTATCTTCTATTAAATAAAGAGAAAAGAATAATTGGTTGAATGCCGTTGAAAATGTGATCAACACCACTAAAAGTGAATATTATAAATATAATAAAATTGCCATAGGTCCTACTAACGAAAGAACGTTTTCAACTGATCAATCACTTTGAATTCGAACTCTGTGCATAAGGAAGTCTCCAGTGAGAGATGCGAAAAACCTTCAAAGGATAAGTTCTCTTAGACCTTCTGTCCAGAGTTATAGGTATTTTAGTCTATGGCGTAGTATATAGCAACAAATCAAATGACGGTATTTCGACCTGAGATTTTGTCCATAGACAAGTCTATTTGCCAGTAGAATGCTCTGAAAATTTCAGCTCAAAAGAATGTTTCCTCCGAGAGATAATAAAGTTCCAAAAATCATTCATACTCCATGGAACATGCTAGAATTTTCTGTTTTTTTTTGAGACTTCTACTAACAAATAAACCACTTTGTAGAAAAAAAAAATCTCAAGTCGAAATACCGTCATTTGATTTGTTGCTATATACCATGCCATAGGCTAAAATACCTATAACTCTGAACAGAAAGCCTAAGTGAACTTATCCTTTGAAGGTTTTTCGCATCTTACTGGAGTCTACCTTATACACAGAGTCTGAATTCAAAAGCGATTGATCAATTGAAAATATTCTCTCATAAGAACGAGATTTTTATTAACAAGTAGATGAATCGGTGTCTGTTCAGCGAAAAACATTTCAGCGAATGTTTTTTTCGGCGAAAAAAAGCGGCAAAAAACAGTAGTGAAAATTTATTTCAGCGAAAATGTACAATGGCGAAAGTACAAAGTAGCAAAAAAGCTGACAACAAATGCCAAAAACACCGAAAGCACTTTCAGCGAAAGTTTTTTCCTTTAAGAGCTCAAATAATCTTTATATGATGATGACTCATCATGTGGAGTGCGTCCAAAAGTAGCGACTTTTGCCTATTTTTCTCTATCCTGACCAGGGTATGGGTGTGAGTGCAGTTGTTAGTGGGTGTTGGGTTTCGAAAATGTGACTCTACATACCCACCCCCACACCTTATTTAAAATATCGTTCTAAGTACTCGAAGTTCATATAGATATAGCGGAATAGGAATCAGAGATCAAATCGAGTCTGGTTTCTCTGGTTCGATTCAAGTAGCACTGTTTTTCCCTAATCAGGAGTAGAAGATAGGTTGTTAGAACTTCTTTCTTGGACGATTAGGGTGTCATATTAGAGTTGATATCGATGCAAATTAATATTCTTTAATAGACTTGTGGATTAAAATAAATTTTGTAATATTAGTGCATAAGTATCACTGCTATTTTTTTCTCAGTGTTAATACATAATCATACAAAATTACAGATGACTATTTATCGCAATACAGAAATCTAAAAGAAAAGAATTATGTAGCATAGAAGTGATCTATCGTCATAAACACAATTAGTATGTAACTGTTGTGAAGTGAAAAAAAAAGGCTGTATTATATAGAAATCAAATCAAGAATGTCAAATGATCAATCAAAGCTCGTTTTATTTTCGTCGGTTGCACATTACATTTCTACAAAACCGATTATAATTCAATCAATTATTTGTTCATTCGAGATTTGATTCCGCTCGACTATCTTTTTGAAAATTAGGTCTGGTTCAGATCCAGTGGTGGATCTAGGATTTTTATGGTGGGAAATCATGAGCACAAAACGTATTTTGAAGCTCATTAGAGATAGTATCAGCTCATTTTTAAACCTGTTCTAATGGAAAAAAAATCGAGAAAAATCTTTTGAAAGCTAGGCGATTGCTTCTAATGCTCCCTCTAAATCCACCACCGTTCGGATCAATTCGTTTTCGGTCTCCGATAGGGATCATTCTTTCTTTACATATAAATCAATTTTCGTTGAAGTCGAGAACCCCTGGTACACCCTTTATGTAAAGAGGACATCTATCGATGATCATCTCTATTCGTTTACTAATAATAAACCTTGGATTTAGCCATTCCAAAGTAGGTCAGATACAATAACAGCTCATCAACTCAATGCTTACGTGTCATTTTGATTCATTTAGAAATGTATTTTAAGTTGTTCACTTATAAAACTGTAATAAGATATTCATACGTAAAATAATTCAATAGCATAAATATATATTAATTAGTACAATGCCAATACAATTGTCAGATTTTCAAAGTAAAAATAAAATTCTCTTATTTTTATAAAAATTATTTCTATTCTTATAATAGAGATCGGTCTCGGTCTGTCAATATTTGGTGTTGGTTTTATTTTTTTTGGTATGATTTTATTATTTGATAAAGGTTTACTTGCAGTTGGAAATGTAAGATATTAATAATAATTGATAGTATTTTATTATTATAGAGTATTTATTTTTGATTAGATTTTATTTCTTGCTGGTTTAAGTATGATTATTGGATTTGAACGTACATTTCGATTTTTTTTTTCAACGTACAAAAATTAAGGCTACATTTCTTTTTTTTGGTGGTATTACAGTTGTTTTAATTGGTTGGCCATTGATTGGAATGATTTTTGAATTATATGGATTTTTTCTTCTATTTGGGTTAGTTTAGTATTTTTATTTGTTTAATTAATTTGTTTTTTTTTTTTTTTTGTAGCGGTTTCATTCCTATTGCAATTAATTTTCTTCGACGTTTGCCAATTATCGGTTCAATTTTATTATTACCCGGTATTCGACAAGTTAGTATTATAAACTTTTTGTTATATACGAAAGAAAAATATTATTTTGTTGTTGTTTTTTTTTCTATAGGTTGTCGATAGATTATGTGAAAGTCGATCAATGGTATAATGATGAATCTTCTTTTTTTGTGTTTTGTTAGTTCCAATATATTTGAACAATCATTTTTTTAACATTCGCTCTCTCTCTATATGTGTGTGTGAAATTGTTAAAAAAAAAAAAAAAGCTTGAAAATTCAACAACATATATATATATATCCTTTTATGAGGAACTATTCAAGCTCAATCATTTTTCTTTTTCTTTCTTTTTTTTTAGATGATTTATTGAAAATAGTTATTTTATTATTCATGAATATTATATAGTAGAAAAATAATGTTTGTTCAATATGGTTTACAATCAATATTAAGAAAGAGTAAGATGAATTTAAATTGATTCAAAAAATTAAAATTTAGTTATTTTGAATTCATTAAATTAAATGAAGATAAATATCTAAAGATTGTTGATTAATAAATTTGAATATTTGAGATAATGATTTTTGGTATAATTTGGTTCAATGGAATTTTAATAAGTGTGTCAAGTATGAAATATAATGAAGATTTGCTGCCATTTTCTTTTTGTTTTAATTGAACATTATTGGCCTTTCATACAAATATAATATTAGCTTTATGAATATACTTTCAAAATCATTTTTTACTGAAAAATAAACTGATTCAATAAATCTAGATGAAACTTTTGAATTCTGTATTATGTCATATATAACAAAACGTTCTTGAAATTCTTTTAGATGTCATTTCCTTTAAAGAGACTAAGTTATGATAAGGGACAAATTGAGACTTAAGAATCATGATTATATATAATGAGCATATAATTAGATAGAATTCTATTCGTAAATGACCAGATTATGACATATACTAATCTTTATAATGGCTGATTCAAGCAATTGAGCGAGAGAATTCTGATTCAGTTTAGTGTCACAATATGTCCAAATTAACCTAATTTCTTCGTAACGGCAATCTGATATAGTTTAGTATTACAACATATTTCAATTAAATCAATTTCTTCTTAGTCTATTCTCAATTTTATTTTAATTTTTCCTTTATAATTATCTATAGCACATCTATCATTAAAAAGTACATATATAATATTCACATATAATATTCAACATAATATTCTTCGTACTTTTTCATCAAGGTGAGATAATTTGTTAATATTAATAAAAATATATTCCAGCTGACCTTTTTATTTGCTTGCAGTTCATTCTATCATTACCGATATGATCTATTATTCCGACAAAATGTCCATAGATTATCAAAACGAACACAATCTAGCTCAACACCACCTTCAAATACTAATAGTAATCAATCAGTTTCATCAGATAAAAATGCATCTACAATAACAACAATATCAAAAGGTTTAAATCTAAATATAATATTAATAACAAAATCATCTGCTCATTTTTAGATCATTCACGTAAAATAAAAACAACTGATTTTACTGAAAATTATACAGATAATAAACTTATTACACCCATACGAGCTATGCATGAGTATTTATTAAATCCATCGTGAGTTGATTTATAACTACAAAGAAATATTTAAATGTATCTCTTTTTTGTGTAGAGATTTAGAAACACTTCAACAATATAAAACACGTTCACCTTATACAGATGTTGCGGATAGTTCACGTATGCTTACAGTTTATCGACGAGGTGATGTCGAAAAACGGTATAAATAAATAGATAAATTTAAAAAATTTCATTTTTATTTTTATTTATAAGAGCTTATGAAGTATGGGGTAGTCCAGAAAATTTATGCAAAGAAAAAGCTAAACGTACTAAAGCTCTACAAGATGAAGATGAAGGTATGTGTTTAAACAAAAAAAAAACAACAGTTAAGGCGTACCGAAAGTAATGACAGAAGTATTTCAACATCGTATAGAAAGGTTGAAGAAATTTTCTTTCTATATGTGCTAATAGTAAAATTAATATTCTATATGTCATCTCATTCTTTTATTAATATTATAATAATAAAGTTTCAATAGAAACCATTGGTTATAATACGTGACGATAATACTTGAGTGTTTTGAATAACTTTTGGTAGAACTAAGATTGAGAACTGTAGTTTTCATTACTAGAAATAGGAGATGAAGACGCATAGAATTATATATTATTCATTTTTTACTTTGCGATTTCAAAGTTTTCAATCAACGTTGTTATGAAAAGAAACCTAAGATAGTGGGATTTCATTTTTTTTTTCTATAATATCAAGTACTTAGTTCAAATCCAAATAGTTATTTTAATATCCAATGGAGTTTTCTATAGCAAGATTTCATAAATAAACTATGATCACAAGATTTCTAAAAAACCAGACATTGTAGCTTTCAAGTTGCAGAAACTATTTTTCATCAATGCCATGTGAAAGAAGACAAAATGAGGAATTCCAACATTTTCTACAACCTTTCCCTAAAATGTTAAAAGTATCACGAAAATCGGGAAAAGACGTTTTTTGATTAATTTCGTGTTTTTACAGGTTTTTGTAGTATTTTCAACTTCCTAAGGGAAGGTCATAGGAAATCTGGGGACCACGCATTTTGTGCTCTTTAAAATGACATTGTTAAAAATCGGTCCTGGGACCTGAAAACTATCGTATCCGGTTTCTTCGAAGCTTTACCGTTGTAGTCCATCCATGAAATTTTGATATGTAAAACTCCATCCCACAGACGCCTTAACAACGTCCCACTATGCAAGATGTTGTTGATGTTCGATCAAAGACCGTATATGAATAACGTCTCGTTCTAATATATGAACTATTTCCTTATTGAATTTCTGGAAGATTAAGTAAAAAAAATGGTGACAATAAGACCAACTACATCGTGTTTCACATTTTAATTTCACATAGATTGTGCTAGCAGTTTCTATGATTATAATATTAAGTAAAGAATGATGAAATATAGAGTATTAGTTTTTACTATGAATGCATATAGAAAGAGAAAGTTTCTATACGGTATTGAAGTATCTTCGGCACTACTTTTGGTATGTTTGAATTATTTTCAAAACTAATTCTTTTTGTTTTATTTTTCATCTAGCTAAATTTGTTTTAAAAAGATTCATTACAGAACATCAAAAACGTTTATCATTATTAGAAAATGCATCATTTGATAATCGAAAATCAGTAAACGAAAATAATTCTTCTCAAATAATAAATAATATTTTATAATTCATTTAGGTTAAAAGAAATGTTCTTACAACAAGTAGTGGAAAAGTAGTTGTTGCAGCTGTTCTTATGTAAGAAAGAAAATTTAATTTAAATATCTTTTGTCTTTTTTTTTATTTCAATAATTCTAGTAATGCAACAAATGCTGTTGTAAAAACTATTGGTTGGTTATTTACTGGTTCAGCTTCATTATTTTCTGAAGCCGTACATTCCATTGCTGATACATGTAATCAACTTATATTAACATTTGGTTTATGGAAATCAATTAAAAAACCTAATCCTGCACATCCGTAAATACAAATAAACTTTTGATAATCAAAAAAAAAAAATTTCTTATTTAGTTATGGTTATTCAAATATGACATATATATCATCACTTATTAGTGGTGTAGGAATATTTTGTTTTGGTACAGGTTTAGCTTGGTATCATGGTATATTAGTATTATTACATCCTCAAGAAATGGAATCTATCTTTTGGGTAAAGAAAGATTTTTAAAAAAATAATTGAATGTGATGTTTTTGTTTTTTTGACTTTTTAAAGGGTTTAACACTTTTAGGTGGTTCATTAATATCTGAAGGAGGTTTGATTTTCAATGTTTTTATTTATTATTAATTTTATTATTTATAGCAACACTTTATATGGCTGTTAATGAAATTCGAGCAGCAGCTAAAGAAAGTGACATGAAATTTTGGGAATATGGTATTGAAATTTCTTTATTATTTTTATTAAGATTATTTTTTGTTTTTTGCTATATGAAAGTTAATCAAGGATATAAACCTAATGTAAATGTTGTTCTATTGGAAGATCTTGCAGCTGTTTTAGGTGTATGTGTAGCTGGTACAGCTATGGGTCTTTCACTTTATCTTCATTCACCTATTCCAGATGCTATTGGATCACTTATTATTGGTTGTATCTTAGGTGGTGTTGCTTCTTTTATTATTTATTCAAATACAGCTGCACTTGTTGGACGGTAAATTGAATGAATTTTTTGACAACAAAATATTAAAAAGAAATGTTTTTTAATTAAAGATCAATTCATCCGAATCAGATTGAAGCAATTAATAATGATTTAGAAAATGATCGAATGGTTCGGTAAATAATTATTGTATATTGAATTAATAGATTTAATTTAATTTAATTTAATTTTAGTGCTTTATATGATATTAAAGCCACAGATATGGGTTCACAATCAGTTATGTTTAAAGCTGAAGTTGATATAGATGGAAGAGAAATAACTCGATCATATTTAGAAAGACTTGATATTGAACTTCTTCTTAAAGTTTGAAATAGTAGAATTTATTTTCTTTTTATTTTTTAAAATTTATGATTTTTTTATTTAAGGAAATTCAAAAAATTGATACAAATGAATCACTTGAAATATTTCTTCTTAAACATGGAGAAAAAGTTGTTGATAGAGTTGGAGCAGAAATTGATCGTATCGAACGTAATCTTCGAGTAAAATTCTTTTATTTATTAGTCTTTTCTTGATTAAATTTTTTCTTTTTTTTTTATGTAGAAAAAACATCCATACTTACGACATGTCGATTTGGAAGTTCTCTAGCATATAATGCCTTTATTTTAGATTTGTTTTTTCATGTACTTAATCATTTCTTTCATGTAAATATATTTACTACATACACTTATTTTGAAATAGTTCATAGAATATCCAATTGAAAATTGATATCATCTATTTATTGTTTTTTGAAATTTGATACTATAATTTTATGCAATTATTTATGAAGAAACGTTTTCAATTGATCAGTCATTTTCTCATTGAGTATGATCAGGAGATATATCTTTAGATATTCGGACTAGTAAATTTTTTTTCTATTTCAAATCGGATATTTTCTATATAAAATACAGCCATTTCAATTCGTACAAAAGATATATAGTAATATGGTACTATTCTACTTAAAACTCATTTTTGGAAAGCAAAAAGAAAATATTATTGACGATTCGATATGCTTTGTAATCTGATGAGGAAAATTCTTCGACTCATAAATCGCTTTTGAGTCGAGACTATTTGTATTATGTACAACCAAATGAGTTATGAATACTCTGAAAAGAATATATGTTGTACTTTTATGGTATTTTTTTAAATGAGTACCGTAGTTCTACTCAGGAAAATGGATTTTCAAATTTCGACTTGAAACTTTGCATTGAGATAGGTCTTAACAAGAATAGGTTGTTGTGAATGCTTCAGATCTTGTCGCTATTAGAGACCGCCGGATCTGAAAATTTTGGACTCGACAGACTCTAGCTTATATCCTAAGATATGAGTATAGTAACAGCGTGTCTTTTACATTGCTCATGTAAACCGGCAAATTTGATGTTCTTATTTTAGAATAGCAGAAAATCAAAAAAATCTGAAATTTTCACAATGAACTATTCTCGTGAAGATCGCCTCTAAGCAAGGCTTCAGATTGAAATTCGAAAATCAGTTTTCCTGGGGACTACGACATTCTTTTAAAAAAGACCGTAAAAGTACAGTATCCTCGCAGCAATAAGCTAAGGATACGAACTCTTTTTTCAAGATATCCATAACTCATTTAGGTCGATATAATGTACATAGTCTTGATTCAAAAGCGATTTATCAGTTGGAAGATTTTCCTTGTGAATAGATTAAAAACAATTTTGGCAAAATGTTTCTTAGTTTGAAAAACTAGCATATGAAAATCTAAGACGATTTCTCATAGTCATAGTCGTAATCAACATGGTTGATAACTTACAATCCATTCGTCTTTGGTAAGGAAGCGATTGATCAGTTGAAAATGTTTTCTCGTTTGTGTCATTTATCCAAATTTGATCATCTAATAAGTTTCATTTTCTCTGATATTTTAATTCTAGTTCATTGTCTTTCATCATAATCACATTGTTCAATTCTCTATGTTGTATTATATATAATAGAGCAAACTTAATCGAGCTTTTCATAATATCGTGCTAGCCATTAATATATATTGCTTAACCTTTTCATATCGGTGATGGAAGATATCACAAACATAACCTTGTTGTTCTGATTTTGATACATAAATATCATTGTTTAACTAATTAAATGTAATTGGTGTTTTTGTTTCTACAAATGACTTTAAATTTCTTGTATTATATTGCTTTTTATTGTGTGATCTATTGAATATACAACAAGAAGTCATCGGTCATAACAAAATGAATTCTAATTGATTAGTCACACTTATTGAAATTCTTTCTAAATTTACATTTATACTTTAACAACGATTTCTTTTTTTAAACTATGAAGAAAATGTAAAACTTACAATAAAATGTGTGCGTATTATAGTTATATCATTCTTTGATCTGTATATATCCAATATGAGAAAAAAAAAAACAAATTTATTTTGCTTTTTACTCATTGACTTTTTCATTCAGTTCTATATTACTGATATATTTTTAATATTTGTGTATTTCTCTACTTTTCTTAAATCTATTTGTGTTCAATGGTTTAACTCACACACCTTTTGAATAATCTCTCTTTATCGAGATTAATAATTCATGATTATATTGTTTTGACGTCTAACTAAGTTAAATCAATCAATATTCGTTTGGTCATAAAGAGAAGAAAAAAAAATCTTCAAACGAATATTAACTTATTTTATTCAATGCCAATACTACATTCTTTTTTACAATGCTTTAAGATAACAATAATTCATTATTCAAGGAATCATAAAAAGTCTACTGGATTTGAACGCAAAACTTTCGAAAAAAGTCTATATGAAACATGTTTCGAATAAATATATTCTTTTGTCTTATCGGATGATACTACTTCATTCACATTATCAATAATTTAATTTAAGGGCTGCGCAAGTACGAGTACGACTTGTACCACGCGGTTCACAGCTGACTATGTACCACCTTGTACCACCTTGTATCGATATAATAACATATATACTCTCGAAAAACCTAGAATTCTAGAATTCATACTCGATACAAGGTGGTACATGAATTCTAGGTTTTTCTGGGGTATATATGTTATTATATCGATAGATGGACTCGATACAAGGTGGTACAAGGTAGTACATAGTCGGCTGTGAACCGCGTGGTACAAGTTGTATCCGTACTTGCGCATCTCTGGAAATGTATGAAAAATTTTCCAACAAGCGGATTAAACACTTCGAAGTCTTCCGGAATAATGTGCTAAAAAACCGAAAAAGTACCTTAATATACTAAATTACTTAGAAGTTTCTATGATATATTAGTAACAGGGTACCTTTTCATGTATCTTGAACTCAGTAGATTCACTAGGAACCATTGCTCGAGAAGTAAGATCGGTTACAGCAAAATGTTGCTTCATTGATATCACCAATTTAGCTCATATTTTGGCTGTAGATAGAAGTAAGTCAGATATAAATACTCTGCAAGTTTCAACTCAATCTGATCTATTGTTCAAGAGATATTTCTATTGCAAGTGTAGCTACTATGGCCATTGTTTTTTTTACTTTTCCACAGTGACTGATACATGATAAAGTTAATGTGGATGTGAATAAAGAGAAGACAGATACACACTGCCACGACGAAAATTCTTCTCTGAGAAGTTCGTGTGAAAGATCAAAGCCAACATTTGATGATGGACGAGTTCATTGTTCATTGACAGATCTTCCGTGAGATTGAATTCGAGAGTGTGAGTGTGAATACAGAAAAAGAGAAGATTCATTCCAACACAGCCCTACATACATCATTACTTCCAAACTCATCCACACCCACATAAAAAGAATCGCATTGTTGTTTGTGAATATCTATTTGAAGAAAAGAACGTATTAATTTCACAAATCGTTTTATTCATCGACTGTGATGATTGTAGCTGAATTTAAGTTGACAGAAGTTATCATATGTAGAATCAACACCAAAAATTAAGCCGAATGATATTGTATTGATATTATTCTGAAAAAGTTAAAGACTATAAACCACAAATTTGTGATTAGTAATTTCTCGATTATATTTACTTAAGACGTTACTTGACATTTACAGAAACATCAATTAAGGTTTCAGAAAAAAAAGATAATGAGTCTAGATAAAATACATTAATAATTGATAATTGTTCTACGTAATTCCATTGCCCGTGGAGGGTATTGATGAGTTCTAAAAAGTCGACGTGATATATTAGTAAAAACTGCCTTGAATTCAATTCGAAACGTTTTAGATGTAGCTAAGTATATGTAGACTGTTGAAGATGGATTGATATATATAAGAAAATTTCCCGTAATAAAACTGATAAATGATTCTATTATTTGTCGATCGGTACTTTTGACTACTGACATTGTTATCGAAGTATACAAAGAATTAAACGGAAAAGGTAGTGTAGACAAAACATATACGACTACTTCAGCTATCAACATTCGCGTCAACTGATAATCACGTTGACGCATGCCACTTAATGTTAATACTGGATGAACACGATTGTGTGCAAGACGAATATTACGTAGTGTAATCATACTGAATATGATCATGAGTAGAGGTGGTACCACTGCAACAATAATAAATACATAAATTCCGAAGATAATATTGTATAGACTTGATTTCGTGCATCTACCATCGATAATCGTATTCCAAATGAGCAAATGGATAGAGATGACAATCCAAAACAAAGTGCAGAATAAAATAAGTTTCAGAGCAATTCGTAAGTTACTAAGATTGCGTATAGATACTCGGCTGGATGAGATACAGGCACGATCGAAACAAGCAAGAACAATCAAGGAACGTGAGACCATGATACTAATCTGTCCAATGTATCCACGTAATTTACAATAAATCAACGAACTATTAGTAGGATCGGATTGCTCAATCGCATAAATACTTGTCGTTGCTAAAAACATTAATACGATAATATTTGCAATGGAACCTGCTAACAGATAACATGAACATGAATTCGATCGAAGTTGTTTTCGAAGAAAGACAAAACAGTTGCATAGATTGCCAATAACGCCAAAGACAACATACACTGTCATAAACCATCCCATACATTTTTGTATAGACAGCAATTGAATGGCTAGAGATGAGACCATATTGATGTTATTCTAAAGAGTACTTGGTAATCTTTATATGTGAGAAAGTAAAATGTATATGCTTAAGAATCTACTGCTCGCATTATTAATCCAATAATTGTTACTGACTTCATAGATGTGTGTGCTAAAGAGTGTTTCATAATAATTAAGGATAAATTGTTAATGCTATTTTTCATACTCTTGTTTGACATAGAAGCGTGAAATTTTTATCACGTATACATCTAATCGAGATCTTTTAGTTCTGAAGGTTTGAGTTCTCTAGCTATAACTAATGATGAAATATATCGACAAGATTGTAATTCATAAATTTTCGTACTAGGTTTTTGCTCTATTTCTACTGTGAAAAATCGGACAAAAATCAAGTACAAAAATTATGCATTTTAATCTTATCGATGTATTTCATCACTAGTTATATCTAGAGAGCTGAAATGTTCAGAAATAAAAGACCTTGATTAGATACATATGAGATGAAAATCTCAGTCCTCGACGTCAAAGATACCATTAACAAATTTATCCTCAATTATTATGAAACACCCTTTATAGGTAGGAGTTATGCAGCGTTTGATAATGACAGGAAATCTTTAGGTTTGTAAGGTTTTAAAAAAGGAGGGCGTTTTCAAAGAACAACATAATGCTAAAGAAATAGAGGTAAGTCCAACATGCAAGAAAGTTCTAAAGGACGAGACGTGTTTCACCTAGTGAAATCATCCGTTCTTAAAAAAAGAATGTATCATATATCGTTTGATCGAACTGAAACTTCTTTTTTCTTCTTCAATGATGGTTTTCAGTATATATGATGGTGAATCTAAAGACTCAGTCAAATAGTTTCTCAGAAATATTACACTATCAAATCAACCAAAGCAAAGCAACTTATCATGACAGCGAATGTTATTTTTTTCAATGAGAAAAACAAAACTATATAAACAAACGGATGCAATATCAGTAATTTGATGACATCATATTTTTCCTGAGTTATATTTTTATCATCGTTATTTCTTCTTTGTGGCGTAGAAATAAAAAGTTTAATTGCAGTAATTGAGATTAAGCCTATCAACTATTACCAACATTTTTCATCAAAATGCAACTCATGCAAAGAAGAGGAAGACACATTTTTCCTTATATATAAAAGCTGTCCATCTCATGCTGTGCTATGTTGGTAATTATTCAAATGCAAAATGATGCATATTCATTTTTGACTTTGAGCAATGCGTGATCGTTAATGACTTTTGTGTCTATGTTCTTTGGAATCCATACGTCATCGAGAATTTCAGAAATTATCTTTGTTAAATATTTGAAGTTTACCGATATAATTATATCGAAAAAGATTTACTAAAAAGATGATGATAGAAAGAATGAAAAAGAAATTCTTAGAAAAATTCACGTATAATATAAATTGCATTTATGTTTCAAATTCTACGGAACACTTGAATATCTTCAAAAATATTATAATAATCTTCATGATTTTTTTAGTTCAAACCAATTGATAATCGTCTTTATGAAATGAATGATTTATAAAGCATTGACTTGCATACATTCTACTTATCGTAACCTGTTTTTCAGATTGAACATTGATAACATTAGCTAAGCAATCTAAAAAATGTATGTGATGAAATCCTGCATTTTTAATAGTGCAATCGAATCAAATGTAAACCAAAATCGAATATTTGATTGTATGGGTGTGAAAGAATAGACAATCGACACCCACACCTACACCAATGAAAGCCAGGCAGCATGGTACTGCTTTGTTCGTATTTGTTTTAGGTAAAAAGTTTATATTTCTTCAAATATACTTTGGTATCGATTTTATCAAAGACCTGTTCATACAGCTTTATTATTATTGTTGTCTTTTGTGTTGTGATTAGTTTTTCTTTTACATGATTCAATATGTAAACTTCTTGAAAATATGGAAAGTACCTATTCAGATATTTTTATTTAAATGGGTAATCTTCATTCATCAGGACATCAACGGCTATTGCACATCAGACATACACAACTATAACGCGGAGTTAGCTCCGAAGTTGACACTTTTTCTTATCAGAGTTGGAGTAGAATTTAACAATTGATGAGTAGAGTTGTAATGAAGCTGATGTAGATCCAGAGTGAAATTGGAATGAGATTTTAGAGAATAAGACTGGAGTTGTATAGAGTTGAAGCATGATTTAGTGAAGTTGTCCATCTCTATTGCATATGAAATCATAGACAAAAACGATTTTCCTTTCTCTCTTAGTTCCTGTTTTTTAATAATAAAAAACATCATTCTTTCTTTCATTATCGTACAAGAGAACCTCTTCAGATACTTTCCTTTCAATTTCAATGATTTTTTTTACCTATAGATACTACATAGTATTCTAATAAAAGTTCTAAAAGGATTTTGATTCCTATTGAGATTTGACTATGTTATCGATTTTTTTTTCTAGAGGTCCTAGGTTTTCGAACAACTCGTATTTTCGAATTTCGGCCTGAAACTTTGTGCACATAGGGAATCCAGCTAGACTAGTTTCATACAAAATGTACAAGTTTTGAACAAAGTCTCTTCGAGATATGAAGAGACTTTGTTTAAAACCTGTGAATTTTTTTTATGAGATCACTCTAATTGAGTTCTCTATATGTACAAAGCTTCAGATCAAAATTCGAAAACATGAGTTTTCCAAAAACTTAGGAACTCTTAGAAAAAAATTCGATAGCTTAGTCAAATCTCAATAAAAACTCAAATCTTTTTAGGATTTTTATTGTAACACTATACAGTATCTATAGGCAAAAAGTCGTTGAAACAGGAACGAGACATCTGAAGAGGTTTTTCTCGTAAGTCTTACATTTGTCAAAATGGATCGATCCTCATGGCTGAGTGGCTATGCTGTTCGACATGTATCCAATAGTTACTGTGTTTAAATCTCGGTACTCTCAGCCATGGAATGACCCTGGACAAATTACTGACGGCTGTTTGTCTCGGATCAGCCGTTCGATAGTATGCTGACTAAGTTGTGATATTTATCTGTCCTCGTAGCTAGTATGTGATTAGTCAGTATATATGGAGAGTTTAAGCGATTGAGCGCAATAACTGTGCATCAGGCTGACTTTCTATGTAGAGCTACAGCTAGTATCAGTTGTAGGGTAGATGTCGGGCTAATAAATCTGTTGCTAAGCAGCAACACATACCATTAGGCAGCCGAAAGACAGGTATATTCTTCCTTCGTTTTTCCATGATGAATCATATCGTAAATAATAAAAATATATTGGAATTAAAAATTTCTTGGAGACTTGACAAGTAATGTGATGATAGACTTGTCTATTGGAAGAAAATTAATTGTGTGCAGTTGTATGAATTCATTGAATAGAGTTATATTTTTTCAATGAAAGTATAAAGAATATTAGGTAATCTCTTTCTTTTGAATTCAGTCGTGATTTGCATAGTGGAATTAGAATGAAAACAAACTTTCATCACTCAAACGGCTGACTGTTTGTGATGTCAACTGTCGCATTGGTAAATACTACTATGTAGTGTACGCAATCGGCAAATTATGTTGTTGTTTTTTTTTGTTGTATTTTGCCATTGAGGTACATTTTTCATTCTTTTTTTTTCATCTCATCCTTCTACATATTCTTAAAGAGCTACGAAAGGAAGAAAAAAAAAGCAACAGTTTCTTAAGTGCGTTTACATTCTGTCACAGAGTTTTTTTTCAATGTCAACAACAGGCAACTTTTTTTATTGATAAGATTATCAACAAGTTTCAATTAAAATGACAAATCATAATGATTTGAATTCATTATTATTACAATTACAAGAACTCGAAAAATCGAAAGATTATTTAAGTATTGGTAATACATTAGATCGTCGTTTTGATTTAATTATTAATAATATTATTAGAAAATGGATATCAAATGATAGATTAACAAATGATGAAAGAAAATTTATTGATCTATATTCAAATCTTCAATTATCTTTTGTTGAATATTGTGTTTTTGATTTACAATCAACAATAAATAATGAAAATATTATTGAATTATTTCGTACATGTTTATTTCGAACAAAACAAATTGATGATTTAAAACAAGCTGTTATATTTATTCGTGATGAACAATTATCTAATGATAATACAAATGAAGAAGATGAAATGTTGATTTATCTTATGCGTATGCTTGATGCACGATCATTTACATATCGATTATGTTTTAAGGATCTTAATCCACCTCCAAGAAATCTTAATAATGAACTTAATCTATGTCTTATTCATCGTCATGCCAAAAATTATTTATATGATATGAAATTCAATAAAAATATGCATGTAAGTTATCGTCATACATTTTTTATTGGATGTTGTACATTTGCTGTTGCATTATTTGATGAAAATAGAGGAATTTTAAAAAATGATGATAAAAAAAAATATATTTATTTACTTGCAAAATATGTTCGAATAGTGTTAAGTGAAAAAAATTTTGAACAAAATAAATCATTTCTTTATTGTCTTCGTGGTATTCTTGCTATACTTACCAATTGTGTACCAACAGAAAATTGGATTCATATTATTAATAGAGCATTAGGAAATAAAAATGATGATGATGCACAACTAGCAAATCCATTTAATATTAATCTATTTTCTTTAATAACTTTTCGATTATTAGGATCAAATATTATTCGAGATGAAGCGATACAATCTAATTCAAATGATATTACTTCATTAGTTGATGTAGCACTGATATTTCTTAATAAATGGTATGATACATCAAGAGATCTGAATGATGATGATGATGAAAATATTAATGATTGTTTATCATTAAATGAACCCAATCAAGTTCTTCGTTTATTGCGTTCGAATAAACGTTCAGATGAAAATTTAAATGCATCTCAAATAATAATTCCTTATATTGATGCAAAATATGAACGTGTTCGTTTAATGGCTGTGTCAACATTATCAAGTCTAATGAGTTTTCAAGATTTTAAAGATTTACAAAAGGAAAACCCGCATATGGCTCAAGATATAGTAAAACTTATATTTGATTTTATTGATCGAGCAGTTGCTGAAGGAAGTATTCAATATAAAGGAATATCATTTGAACTACTTCTTCTTTATTTACTTCGATTTCTTACTCAAGATTTTTTTAAAAAACAAACACTTCCATACATATCCAAAATAGTTACTTACGCAGAACAGCATCATTTATATGCACTTAAAATTCTTTGTAAAATTTCTTCATCACCAGATATGAAACAAGATTTAAAAAATAATTTCGAATTAAACGAATTTTTAACAACAAAAGCTAATTTTTTATTTGGTACTGATCCAAGGATGAAAAAAATTATCGAACAAATTCGTCAAAATCTTGTATCAGAGCAAGAAAAAGAGCTTCCAAGTAAAGACTATAATCTTTTTCTAAAAAAACGATTATGTTTTTCTTTTGTTTATTTTTTTTTGTTAAGTATCAATTAATAGAAATAGTCGACAAGCATTTATTTCCTATTGTCATCGTGATACACGTCAATGTGATGAATTTGTTCAAGCATTAGAAAAAGCGAATCTTTTTACAAATATTTGGGTTGATAGAAATTGTATGAAAGATAATATGGTTGATACAATAACAAGTGGTATTCGTCAATCAAAAGTTGTTTTTGTTCTTCTTAGTAATGCATATTGTGCATCATATTTTTGTCGAAGGGAATGGGAATTTGCTATTAATAAAAAAATTAAAATTTATCCTGTTTTTGTTCAAGAAGATTTTAAAAAAGAAGCTCCTGATTGGGCTCTATTCAATATTGGTTTAAATCATTATTATAAAATTTATAAACATGATGATTTAGAACGTTTAATTAAAACTTTATGTAGTGATAATCATGAATAATCATAATTAATAAAAAGAAAACAACGATTAATTTAATTGAATTACAAGCATCGTTTGTAATATACGTTTTAGACAAATCGATGGTTTCAATAAGATTGTATCGTCATCTTCATGTTCACTACTATTATTTTGTTCTAATAAAACTTGTCTTGCTTGTTCTTCTTCATTTTCATTATCTGATTGATGAGGAGTATTTGATAAGTTTTCAAGTGGTACTTCATGTGTTAATGTTAAAGCAATAGGGATTTGTTCAGCATCACTATTACTTGAACTATTATCATTCAGTAATTTAGAACGATGACATTCTTCTTCATTTTCATTGTTTTCTATGAAGAGAAAAAAAAAGGAAGAATTCGTTTTGTAATAAAAGAAAAATTTTGTTAACCAATTATGATTTGTTTAAGTTCATGAAGTTTTGTTTTAATTGCTTCAATTAATTGAATATCATTCGGAATATGTTCTGGTAACCAAATTATTTCAAATGTTTTTAGTTAACAATGTCATCTCTCTATATACATGAAACATCAACACAGATGTTATGTACATATAAATTATTAACTTTTTCTTTCTTATCTAAATTTGTATATTCAATCATTGAGCAATGATCTGATGTTATTATGGAAGATTATGATAGAAAACAGAAAAAGAACAAAAGTATCTGTTAAATTAACTAATCAAATGGATAATGATCTTGATTATGACATATGGAAATTCTTTTTTCAACTAAGGACATTTATCTTTGATTTTTAAAAAGAACTTTGAATACAATGAATTAATTTGATTTGAGAGTGAGTACCAGTGTGGGTGTGTGTCTTCTGTTCTACCACACTCACACCCATACCCATCCTCACCCACACGTTCTAGCCAGAGAAGCTTTTGGAACAACTTAAATGATGATTTTTTTCTTTTAGTATTGATTAGATTTGATGAAATATTATAGAATAAATAATGATAAAATAGAGAGTGTTAGGAATAAATTCCAAAATGTTGATAAACTAATACCTTTTTGTCACAAATTAAAGGATTATCATTGTGAAAGTCAGGAATGAGGCAGAAAAATTCAGCAAATATTACTGTATTTGCGTTAAGTAGTTTTAAATAGCTATATGATGATGATGCAAAAATAGCTTCTAAATTTGAAGATTCAATAAGTGTGTGTTCTTCTGACGAATGTTGAAAACCAAAACTCAAAATATCGAATTCTATTTGTTGTGGTTTAATAGAAATTAACATATCTTGATGATTCTTTGTCCATAAATGTTCATAATTATGTTGTAAATATTTTTGAAAACGATTAAATAAATCTTTAGTATATATAGAATAATTTTCACTAAATGTTCGATTAGTTTGGCATGTAAGAAACATCAAGATTATGATCAGCACGAAGTCGATTTAATATTAATTATGTTGCATTTGTTTCATAATTATTATCAATTTTTTGAGGAAGTTGATCAACTTTTTTATTAACTCTTTTATCAGCATCTTCAATTTTTTGTTCAACACGTTTAATTTGTGCGTTGAATTGATCAAATCTTGTAATGAATTCACCTTTTAATTCATCCATAAACAGAGTGTGGGTGTGAGTAGAGGTTTGAGCCTATGCCTACAGCCCATCGGCACTCACACTCGCACATCCTCACCTTTAGCTTCGTTCTCTAATGTACATTTAGTAATCTTATGTAAATGATCAATTGATAAAGTACCACGATCTTTTTCTAAATATGTAATTGTTTTAGTAATATCTTGATTACTTCATGACATATTCATACGTTGGTAAAATATGACGAGGCATATGATTTTCAATTGTTGTTTTAATTATTAATGTATATTTTTGAAAATATGATTTAAACAACAAAATAGTTTTTAGATATGATATACCATCGTCGGCATAGCACAATGATATCTTTTCATTTATTTAAGATTGCTGAATATTTGACTTGAGGATTTTCAAAATACTCTTTGAAGTAGTTGATAAATATCCTTGATAATAACTGAGAATCTCGGGTTTCATAGCACTATTATAATCAATAATATATATATTATGACCATAAACAATCATGTTTTTGGTTCTAATATCACTATGAACATAACCAACTTGGTGACCTAAAATTGAGCATGCACAAACTTTATCTTCGTTTTACTAACTGATTGATCATTAAAAATATTGGCTTAGGGATGAAATATTAGAGTTTTTTAAATTGCTCTCCAAGGTGATTTCAATCGAAAGAAATTCTCTCTGATTTAAGCCTATATAGTTGATCAATTTTCTAGATTTTCTTGAGATTTCTCAATTGTAGATTGCCGAGACATTATGTTTTTCTAAGATTTTTCATTGGCATTGTAAGCATGGGAATCGTGAAAGGGCTACGATTTCAGAGCGGGAGATTGGGCGTTTTTTTTTGTGAATTGGTAGGCAAGAAAAAAGAATGAAACATTGGAAATTTGCTGAGGAAAAAATCGAAAATTTCTAAAGATTGGGAAGTCATCTTTCTGCTCGAGCCATCCCTGATTCTGAGAGAACCTTTGCTTCCATCGACAAAGTCGATCTTATAGTCAAAATTGATATTTAATTGTTCTCTATGAATTGATTCCTTACATCATATTGTGGTTATGAAAGCTTTTCATATTTGTTCGGTGTAATTTGACAAAGTTACAGGTCATAAACAAATAAGGGGCTTAAAAAATCGAGAAAATAATAATATGTTCAATGTTTCTCTAACATCTTCGTCCTTCTATTATGCTCGTTCCGTTTGAGCATAATCTTCTTGAAAAGAATTCATCAAAGCTGAACAAATATGCATCTTTTAAGTTCCTCAGAAAGTTGAATTTTGATATGGAAAAATTAGATTTTTCGAAAGAATCCATTTTTTCAAACCAATTTTTCTTGATGACAAATAGTTTTTCAATTTGATAATTATTTCGAGCACAACTTTAATTAAGTGGATCTTGCAAAGAACTTCACGATGTATAAAATCTTCTTAACGCTTTTTAGAAGAAAGTTTCAGAAAAGCTTCAAAGTTTGAAAGTCGATGGACAAAAGTCGTATCGTCCAATGTAACACAGGGACAAAACATCTTCATATTTAACCAATATAAACTTTCTATTATATAAATAGAGTATCTAGATCAAATTTACACAATAAAAATTGACATAGATACATGTTTTCGAAAAAAATTTTCAAAAAACTAATCAACTTGTAAATGAGACATAAAGTTGCATAGGTAATGATAGCACAGGATTCACATTGTTTCATCGAGAAATTTGCTCAGAAATGAATGGAGGAAGATGTCAAATGTGTCAGAAAGCGTATCGAATTTAATACTAAAATCAAATCTTTAAAAAAGATTTCTTTTCAAAAACTACAAGAAAATTTTAAAGGATTTGTTTTACCACACTAACTTTATGAAAAAATTGTATATTTTCATTGACTACTTAATTATCGACTTATTTAATTCGTGAAAAAAAAATTTCCTGATCGAACTCAACGAGAGCTATTGGATGGCATCAAGTACAATGTTAGTTATAGCCATGATCAAACACCACCAACGCTCCCTTCAGAGGTCTTACCATTGCTAGCGCATGTTTTTCCCTAAAGAGACTCGAACTACCCTAGAGGGTATCTTTTTATTCAAATATAGCTAGTTTGTATTTTAAACAAAATAACTCAGTTCTAATACATTTTGAAACCCTAAATAATTTTTTTCTATCTCAGTGTCGAAAAGGGTGGGTGCGGATGAAATGAAAAAATGAACTTGCAACCACATATCGACACATTCACGCTTACAGGTTTGAGTGTGAATGTGAATGTGGGTGGGGGTGAGTGTCGGTGGTTCACATACTGGCACCCACATATCTATACCTCACACTCACATCTTATGGTTTTCGGCCAACAATGCTTTCTAGGTGGTATTGTTTGTAGCTCTGGCTGAAGCCTACGTGATACACAATGTTATAGTTTCAATCAATAATGTCTGAATGGAAAAACTGTCCAGCGAAAACTTCTTGTCTGATAAATGAACTGAAAATTTTTGACTATCGAGAAATAAGATATCTTCGATACAATCTTGTAAGCTTTCTCTCAGTTGTTGTTCCTCTTTTCCAGTGATATACTTATTGGTTTTCTCTCTTCGGTGATATATGGTTAATTCACCTTTTTCTACAGGGTGGGTAAAAATCTTTTTCCAGGGGATAACGCTATGATTTCAAATAGCATCCATAACAAATTTTATACCAAATTAAAGTGCATCGAAAATGAGATTTATCGATGCTAAATAGTAAAGGTTATGGTAACTTTACAGTGTTGAATTCCGGACATGCCTAGAGTTTTACACCATATTGATATCGAAAGATTACTTTCATGAGGAAGTTCAAACTAGATCTCATTGAAAATGATGGACAGCACAATTTACTTGACACCTGACCCGAAAATATTGGAGCAATAATCAAAAATGAAACTAAAACAAAATGCTATTAGAGACGGAACACAATTTTTAGGGTGAAGAAACTCTGAAAAATATATTTCTGATATTTTGACTAACATGGAGAAAAACATTCAGTTATTTAAAACTATGTCATGTCCATATCCGTCTCATCTTCATACTGCAAAGAAAGCTAATGGTGAGCACACTGATTATTGGTCATATTCATCAAATCTTAAGAGATAAATAGTACTTTATATTATTCATCATTTTCAATAAGATCTAGTTTGAACTTCCTCATGAAAGTAATCTTTCGATATCAATATGGTGTAAAACTCTAGGCATGTCCTGAATTCAACACTGTAAAGTTACTATAACCTTTACTATTTAGCATCGATAAATCATATTTTTGATGCGCTTTAATTTGGTATCAAAATTTGTTATGAATGTTCTTTGAAATCATAGCGTTACCCCCTGAAAAAATATTTTTACCCATCCTATATTATTATTGTTTTTTCATATTCATATTACTTCTCATCTTTCTATCTTTATTATTATATTTTCTTGGTTTTATTAATATAAATAAAATCTTACTGAATCTCTATAACATCCCTTTATCAATATATCAATAACCGCTAAGAACGTTTTCTTTTTGTTACATGAGACATCTCGTTCTCGTAGAAGATCGGGATTAAATATAATTGTCATCTAGCCTAATCCGTAGTGTGGGACAAGAGTCATAGACATCTCAGAAATGAGAATCTTACAGCTTACACTTTCCTGCATCTTGCGTGGCTATTTCCTCTGTATTCTCTTCTTCCAGAATCTCAACAACGTATATTGCTACAAAAGTTCTGAGTGAGCCTTCAACTGATACACATCGCTGTCCCGTCGTTTCAGCATATAATTATGTTCAAATTCACTTGTAAGCACCCTTTTGAATTTTACATAAAAAATTATATTCAAAGAAGATTAAAAACCATGTTTATGACTGATCTACGTTCCTCACTATTCTACGATGATATCTTTGTTTGGAATGATTTCCATAAAAGGAAAAACAATCATTTCGGTCACTGTTTTTGCTTGCGACGTGTGCGACAATTACTAGATCGACACGAATCGTTTCTTTTAAAGTGTTTGTCTTTTATTGATGCGAATTGATATTATACAATAAGAAAAAAATGTAGTACTTTGTGCTTTATTCAATTTTCGTTTTGTCTTTCTCTTTAGGTCCAATTCTTTTTCTTTTCCTTATTTAATACTTTTCTTATTCGTTCTTTTTCTTTTTTGTCTTTCCTTTTTGTCTCTCTTGCTTCTAGTTGTTAGTTCTACTCGTGTATCTTCGCAGCTGCTTATTATCATTTCTCTCTTTTTACTCTATCCATTATATTTTGTTGGTTCTTTTAATTACTCTCTCTATATCTCTAGAAGCGTAAATCAGTACTTAGCGTATGATATTGGGGGCATACTGTTTAATGCTTTGCTTTAATGATGCAGTTTTCGCTTTAACATCGTTCTCTTTCTTTTGTAAACGAAAGAATATCGACACCCAACGATCAATTGATATATGCGGTTCGACGCAAGAGATAACATCAATCAATAGATAGGCTAGTATAGGTTTTCACACACTGGAACAAAATATGTGTTCATTATTTCATAAGTTATCCTTCTGATTTGACTCTACGTAATATGAATCTTGAATTTATTTAAATCAAAAAAGCGAGAAATAAATAGCATTGCGATATCTTCTCTACATTCATGTCTATTCTAAGGTTACTACTGGTAATTTATGTTGGAAAAAAAATGTCTATCCAAAAAAAAAATTTTTTGAGTAATTTGAATAAAAGCCAATACTTTTGAAAAGTTTGAATGGAAATTGAGTGTTCTTGAGGTTTTTGAAACAAAAACTGATTTAATCTAAAAAAACTCAGCTTTTTCCTCCTTGTAGTTTTTTTCTGATTTAAGATTTTCTATATTCAATTGCTATTTTTTTGTAAGTTTGTTCATATTTAAAATAAGAAAAATGTCTACGTTTTTTAATAAAAAAAAGAAACATTTAAGGATCAAGAATGCCTTATAAGAACGTATTTTCAATTGATGCTTGACAATGTATCACATATTCATTGTAATATTAAACTACATCGAAGAAAACTGATAAAAGAGTTAATGATACAAGCAATCGCAGTTCCAAAGCGCAATGGACAAATTTTTGTTCTTAACGTCACCGCTCCTTTGTGAAACGCGATTGTTATTGAGTGTTGAATTATGTAGCGAGAAAAGTGAACTACCCTACCTCCTTCCCTGGCCTGCCCCAAAGAGACGTGACAGGCAGACAAAAAAAATTGCTCAAGGTTCAGAGTGCCACAATAATCCATGTGGCTAGGATGCTGCTTAACGAGTGGAACGAATCTATTGTGTTTCAAATTTTAATTCTGTAGTAAATACGCTGAAAGCTTTTTTATGGACTTTAACATGATAGGATAAAAAAGAGCATCCAAAAATATTCATTTGGAGAGCAATAGCGTGGTATAAAAACACCAGCTGTATCTCGCTCTCAGCTTACTGATCCTAGTATCTTGAAAAAAAAACAATAAAATAGTGTGAGCGCACGGAATCATTAATACAATAAGAAAAAGGCAAAAGATTAGTCTGATCGAATGGCCGATTTCAAAAGCGCGTTGCAAACAGCCGATTGGCGCCGTCGTATGATCGCCATTTATAGCGAAGTGCGTCGACTCAGTCAAGATGACCAGCGAGCTGCGCACGAGTACTGGCGACGGGAACGTGATATTCTATTCGCCTCTCATCCAGCATCTCCAATATTATCTGTGAATCGCGATCGCTTCAACCAACTTCCTGTGGAAACATACGACCCAGCTTTTCGTTTCGAGCTGCCCATACTCGCTAATCGTGAGCCTTGCCGCCGTGAGATTCCAACTGGAACTGACGGCATAGTTCCTTTCGATCGTATTGGTTCGGTACACGTGCCTGATATTGGTGAACTAGACGTATGGTATCTCGGCTCTTACGGGGGCGGCATCTTTGTACCGGTGAAAGACAAACTTGCAGGCAAGCCTGGTGGGACCTATGGTGGTGGACGTTACTTGATTGATACAATCAAGGGTGCATACTTGGGCCCTGAGACATCTGATCAGAATCTTGTTCTCGATTTTAACTTCGCATATAATCCTTCATGTGCGTACAATCCAGTCTGGGCGTGTCCTCTCGCTCCACCGGGAAATATTGTATCTGTTGACATTCCTGTCGGCGAGCGATACTGCAATTCGTACTTATGAACAGGCAATTTCGAATGAGCATTCAAACTTTATTCTAAAGTCGAATGGAAGAGAGCTTTTCCCACACTATTAGTGCTGGGAAAGCATAGTGTGTGTGGGTATGAGTGCATGTGAGTGTGAGTTTGGTGGATATGACTGGGTGTGGGTGTTGGTGACAAGACTAACATTTCACACCCACACTCCGGAACTTGAGTTGTGATATTGTTAACGACATTTTATTCTTATGAAATTTTCGAAATATATGATCGTTTCGTATTTAATTATCGTTGAAAATCAATAAAATAAGCTGAAACATAATGAAGAAAACTTTATATTGACGTCTCCTAAAACTTAGAAATCTTAGAGTTGGGTAGAACAAGGGTACGAAAACTTCTTACCATATAGGGCTTTGACAATAAATCTACAAAAAAATCTGTTAAACTTTATTCAAATAAAAAAACAGTAAATTGACTGTAACTTAAACTTTGTCATACCTAGATCGAGGAATTCAATCATTGAATCTTGTCGGATCTGATTAGATTCAATGTTGAATTGTGTTGAAAATGTTCGGATTGTATCGGATTGAGCCCAGAATCCAGTGACCCGGAATCTGACGAACATTTGACTCGGAAAGAATCCTACCGGGTTATACAAATTCCGATGAACGGATCTGACAAAGTCTTATCGGAGTCTCTGATGAAACTTAAGAGATCTGAAAGGATTCGGTCAGATTAGAATCATTAACGTTCTATACTTGTTCTGCTTCCGATTTACTATCATTTACTTAAGATATAATAAATAATTAGATTTATGATGCTAATGATAACAGTATACCGTCTAACTCCGATGATCTTGTCGTTAGATGTTAAATGATTTCTACGGCTTTTCACAATATTTCTTTCGTTTAATTAAGAATTGGAGATTATGAGAATGTATCTCTTTTACCAATGGTCATTAGTGTAAAGAACTTGATGGTATCGTTTCGAATGTTAAATGCAATGCATTGATCGTTGAGGAGAGAACAGATGCGAAGCTACCCGATGATCATACACAAGGGACCTCAGTCTAGATTCAATTTCATATAATGGAAGAGAAATTGAAGCACAATTCACTTTACATTGAACTCAACGCGGTCTTGAGGATGTAGATGTGGATTGAGTGTGTACTAATAAACTAGTAAAAACGCCACATCAATTCTTTATCAGGCCATTGAAAATGCTCGAAGACACTTAAATTGTGTAATGGACAACATTTGAAAGATTTTAATCAACACATTAATTATATTGAAGAAAAGTGAGTAATTAATTTGTTGATTCTTCTATTTGGCAAGAACAAATATTATGCTACGATGAGGACGAACTACATACAAATAGGGGAAACTGAAGTAAGATCAGAATTTATTTTAAATGTAAGCCAAGTCGTCGCTTCATTAAGTGTCAATAGTTCAATATTTTTTGTCTTATAGTGAGTAACAGACAAATACGAGATATGAATATTGACTACTTCTCAGTCAAAAATGTCCTGAATATGTGCTTGTCACTCCGGCAATTGTCGTTGTTGTCACCACATAGGTATCAGCGCTGACTGTTTGCTGTGTACCAACCAAATTAAACTGGGCTTTGACACTGTACGAGCTAAGGACACAGGTAATATTTTTTCCACTAGCAATCTTCCATGTATAGATGATCTGTGCGCCATTATCAACATGCGAAGAACTTACTGCCCCAGTCGAAAATGAGTTGTAAATAGCATTGTACGTTGCACCAACAGTCTTTTGTACAATGATCTCAACAGTAATGTTGATCAGAGTGGCTAAACAACTAATGTTGAGCGTTTCGTAACCATACCAATTGCTTGAAAATGACGTTACACTAACAACACCTGTGACAATAAACAATAAAAGCGTTTGATTAAACTATTTACAACTATAAATTAGTAAACAAGCTACTTTGCTATGTCACACTATACATCAAAGGAAATCTGTAAGTTAATTGAACTTATATTCTTGTTACAAAGTTCAATTAATATCAAAATATTATTGATTGATCAGTTCCTGTTTGTCTATGTACTTGTATAACATTAGAAACTCGAAATATCTTGATGGATGCATTGTCGTATAGTTTAGACGTTAGAAATCCTGTAAAAGTCACACGTGATTATCCAAAAATCCTACTCGTAACCTGGCGATGCAATTTTGTATTTCTTTTCGATATACGCCTACTTGTCAGCAGTGTATGAGAATATCCACTATCAAGATTAGTTTTTCTCTCTATTTATTTTTTGCCATTTTCTTTATATCGTTCAACAATCTGTTTATGATTATTAGATGTGTTGTCAAACACTGAAAAGGAAAACCATAAAAAAATGAACATGTACGAGATTTAATTGTTTTTTCACCTGATGATATGATTAGGTTATGTTTGTTATGCAAGAAAGGATCATCAATCATCTCTGTATAAATTCTTTTCAACAAAATTATATTAGTTATACGTTGCAGTATAATTACCACAAAAGGAAAACTTGCATACTTTACAAATCGGTACGTATTCATTATCAAAAGATCATTCGATGATAAAAGAGATTTGATATTGTAAACAAAATAGACATGGTTACTGACAAAATTGATTACTTACAATCAACAATCTACTTGGTCACATAGTCGATGTCTACAATTACAAGCTTCAATACAAAAGAATTTGGAATATTTCGAACGAACAATCAATATCAAATGTGAAAAATAATCTTGTACTGTCTAATATAAGACGTTACTAAAGTCAGTCAAAGTTACTTCTAAACATTAATATTTCGTGCGTATATGAACAATATTGTTGTGCAATATCATTTTTATGTACAACTTCTAATGGTATGTAATTACATATATGACTTATTTATTAAGATAAATATAGTGCAAATCAAGTGTCCAATATTCTTTTCTCTCATAGCATGTCTTTTATGATGTTGTTACATGAAATAAGTAAATTTTCTCTATAGCGAAAAAAAAAAATAATGTCATACACATATATAAAGATCAGCTCCTTTTCATCCAGAACAACTACAATATTGAAATACTTCAGACAAATATTCATTGATAGAAGTATCAATATGGCACTGTTAGATATCGAATAGATTCCTCATTTGATCTATTTTGACAGCTGCATGATCTCTAGCATCGCAAGTATATGATGACGTATTCATCAGAGCATTGTAAATGTCTTTGTGACTACTTCAACTCAATTAAATGCAAAATCTACAGGCTTGATTTGGTAGATCTCTTCAATCTCCACAAAATTCGCTAGGCATCGTAACAAATCTTACCAATGTAGATCATAAGAAGTCTATTTCAATGATCAAAGAGTCATTTATCATAGAATTGCCATTGGTTTTCATTGAACTAGAGTCACAATTTTGTTTGTTTATTTTGAGATTCGACCCGGATACTTTTCATTTTCATTGAGCCTTTTTATTTGAGGAATGTGAGGACACAAAGAACTACGCCCTCTCCATATCTTATCTCGTCGCTCAAAACTCGATTGCGATGCAGAAAATAGATGCTAATTTATTGAACACATGAATCATGTATTGAAAAATCGATGAGTATTGGTTAAAACATGCATTTTCATCAAAAAGTGGCTGGTTGTAACTGCACTCGAAATTTGAAAAAATCTACAAAACATTGACTTTTCTGTGTAGTTTTCTGCATGGTTACTGGTTACTAATCATTCTACAAATCAATAACTAATCGTTCACATAGATGATGATGTAATTTGAAATAGATGATGCTCAATATACTTGCGAATTTTACCTATGGAATTGAAAGCAGATTACGGATGCTTTCCTAATGAATACTGAAGAAAGTAGAGAGTCTTTCAAAATTTATCAAGATTAAAGCCTGCATTGCTATCATGGTTATGTCGTCTAAAGTTTTGCATATTTGACTCAAAGTTTCTCAGAAAGTTTCTTTCACTCACTTGGAGCAGTAGTACTGGCAGTTGTTGTTGTTGCTGATGTAGTAGTCTCACTGACAGTTGTTGTTACTGATGTAGTAGTCTCACTGACAGTTGTTGTT